AGCATCACTGTAGTTAAAAAGTGGTCTCTATTTAGTCTGTGGGGTAGTCAGAAATAACAAATATCTTAATAAGCCAAAGTTTCCATTTCTCTGAGGAGACGGGGCTGCCTATCCCCTTTCTATTTCTCTCCCAGGCCGTGAAGAGACCCTTCAGGCTCAGCACTAAAATTCACTGTGTCACAAGAAGACAGAACAATGTCAAGTGTGAGTAATGACCAGGGACCAGTAATTTGCTAAGGTGGACACACAGGTCAGACAGGTCAGAGCACATTCCTGACAGTGACGTCCTCTGCCCGGAGATGGGTAGGATGCCCCGTGGCCCAGCGCTCAGCAGTCCCTGGGTCAGCTGCTGCCCTCTGGCTGGAAGAAGAGAGCCAAAGCAAGAAGTTTTGGAAATAACTTGGCTTCTAGTTTGCAAGTCATTCGATTCATGTTATGGTCCATCTAAGTCATATTGGCAGCCGGTTGTGTGACCAGCTGCCCATCCTGGCCTCTGGGGCGGGAGGCTGGCTTTGGTGGTCTACCACTGTCAGTTTTGATTTATGTTAAACTGGGTTTCTGCTGTTATTTATTCCCCGAGAGCCCTTCCTGACCAAGGGATTTTCTTCCTTTGTACAGATCGATCCTCAGTGTTTAGGGTCACCACGTACTCCAAATGTTCTGGAATAGACCCAATTCCAAATATCCTGTCTTTCTTCTTTCCTGCAAAATGTATTTATTGAGCATCTATTTATGCTGAGTATCGGGGACAGAGCAGTGAATACAGCAGATACAATCTCTGCCTCTGTAGAGCTTATCTCATGGTAAAATCATATATTCTGATTTAGGATTTGGAAAATGTATAGTCACCTATCACTGGCCACGTATGCTAACTCTCCAATGGCAGTAAAACCCTTACAGCGGGAATTTAGGCTGAGTTATTGTTCTGTAGTTTCTCCTTGTTTCCAAGGCATTTGCCACTAAATATATCTTTAGGGAAACAGCCACAGCGTGAACCTGTAAGTAAATTTTAAGCGATGAATACATCCCAGGGAACAGTTTAACTGAGAGATTCTCTCTGTTTATGCCTGTTGTTAATTCTGCTGCATTTCATGTAGGGATTATGGGATGGTCTTTGAGTGGGTTGTCTCTTTTTCCTTTCTATGCATTTATTAGGGTTTTTGTTTTCAAGGTGTTTTGCCTAGTGTTGTTTCATGCCTAGGAACCTTTAATAGGCCTAGTGTACATTTTTTAAAATTTGATTTTTTAATACCAAGCAGCATTGTAAAGAAGTTTAAAAGAACTTTTTAATTGTGGGGAATTTCAAACATTTACAAAAGGAGACTGAATCATGTAATGAATCATTGACCCTTCACCTGGCCCCAACCACCCTCAACCCTCGCTCGTCTACACCCCCAGCCACTTCCTCCACCTTGTATCCCAGATGTCATAAATATTTAAGCGTGTTTCTCTAAAAGATAAAGACTATTTCTCAATATAATCACAATGCTATTATCATGCCTAAAAATTAGTATTTATCTTATAGGGAGATGTTTTAAAGGATATGAGAGGAGAAAAATTCAGCCACATGGTGCCAAATGTATCAGCTCTTCTCGTTTTGTTCTGTGTTCTCCAGTTTTGGAACAAAAGTATACTGACATTTTGTGAAAACGATAGCAGTCTCGGCTCCTTTGCACCTTTTCTGGACATAGAGTTTATGATTGGGGCAAACATCAGCTCCCTATCCCTCCATCTAAGAGGAACAAAGCTTGCTCTCTTTAGCTGGATCATATTTACATACTCGGGGTAATTCCCCAGAACCTCTGCCAACTTCTGAAGCTCCCTATTCATTCAGCAAATGTTTGTGAGAAACTCATTGCCTGTCAATCACTGTTAGATGCTGGAGATTTTAGTGAGAAAGAAGACAAACAAGGCCCTAGACTTCTTGGAACTTCCAGTTGATAGGGGAGCAGGCCTTACAGATATAACGATACTAGTAGTCACTCCATTATGGTTGGGTGAGTGTTGTGGTGACCTAACCAGTCTGAAGGGTCAGTGAAGATGTCCTTGAGTGAGAGACATTTCCACCCAGCAGTGGGCACTGCAGGCAGAGGGAATAGCCTGTGTAATGCCCTGAGGCAAGAAGGAGGTTGGCTGATAAAGGAATAGAAAGGAGGTGGTGAGGCTGGAATGGGGTGGGGGCTGAGGGGGAGATGGATCACAGGAGGCTGGGGAAGAGCCTCCCCATCCTGGGCCCACCTCTTCCCAATGGCCCTGGACCCGAGGGCCAGGCTCTTGGCTTCTTGGCCTCTGAGGTCTGGGCTGCCACATGGAGATATGAGTTCAGTTCCTCTCCTGACTGTCAGCTCTTTTGAAGGCATTGTAGTCAAGGAAAGAGCTCACATTTGGAAGGACGTAGAGTTGAATGCTGTCACCTTGGAAGAACTTATAATATTTGCGGAGTAGGGTAATTTGTGAGGATTAAAGAAAATATTGTATATCAAATGGCTAGACAACAAATATTTTCCCCCTTCTCTTTCTTCATAAACGTTCCTCCCCTTTCCCTGTCACAGTCTGGCAGCTCCTCACGCTGCCTCGGAATCCTCTCCTTGTGGAGTGGCCCACGCTGATGGCGCTGCTCCTGAGCAGAGTCCTGTGCTGGGCCCTTCCTTGTGGGTCTTTCATTTAGACCCTAACTTTTTAATAATTTTTAGTTTTAGTTTTTTGGAAATTGAAATAAGAATTATTAATTAAAAAATAATGCCTTTTTTTTTGGCCAAAAAACATCAGAGTACAAAAGAGCATAAAAGAAAAAATGAAATCCCGTTTTACTGAGGAAACTGGCATTAAAGGCTTGGATTCCATCTTTCTAGATGTTGTATACACACAAACACACATTTTTAAAACACAAAATGGGAATATGAAAACGACTATTTTTCACTCAACCAATCTTCGATATCTTTCCATGTGCATAACGTTTAGATCTGCCACCTCAGTGTTTCACAGAGCTCGTTGTCCTTGGTGTTGTGAGTGTTTTCCTCCATTGGTGGTGGTCCTCTTCTCCCAGAGTGGGCAGGGAGGCTGAGTCCTCTGTATCTGGCCACCTGAGCCTTTTCCTGCAAGCCAGTCCACCTGTGAAAGCGTTTGCTTTGCAGAAATGCATTTCACCAAAGCATTGTGTTGTCTTCAGCTTGTTTTTCAGGAACTGGGTGGAGTTCTAACTGAAAGAGCATGTTTTTGTTTCCTGGTATGTGGGGAGTTTCCTTAGAGCTTTTCCTCTTCCTAATTGTATGTCTAGTAAATCAGGGATATTTAATCCCAGCTGTCACTCCACCCAGAGCCATTTCACAGCCCATTCACCTAAACTTATATACGAATTTCAAGAGGTGCTTCAGTGCCTCCGGGAGCCAAGTGTGAGGGACTCAAGTGGCAGCATTTTCTGGAAGCAAATGTGTCACAGCCCCTCATATCCCATCTCTTCCCAAGTATGTGCAGAAAGGTGGGAAGCAAGGGATGTTTTGTTTTCTTACTTCTTAAAAAAGCTCACATTGTAAACAGACAACCAATACAAAAGGGTATAGAGGAAAAATTGGAAGTCATCCTGTTCTCCAGCACCCCTGCCCCATCCCACTGTGCCCTCCTTGGAGGTCATTACTGTTGATAATTTGTCATGTATCTTTCTAGACTTTTCTCTGCTTTTATAAGATTTGAATGAGTGGGATCATAAAGTATTTATTATTCTGCCACAAATGAATGATTTTTAACAGCAAATTACAGGTTTTTTTGGTCAAACATATTTTACGAGTACGTGGAAGAAAGTTGTGCAAAGGTGGTTTAAAAACCGTGGGAGAGTAGAGTTGCTGTTACGGAATTCAGGCTTCTGTACTGTGATTGTTGAGGTACTAGAGTCAGCCCCAGGGAAAATTGGGCATAGGCTAGTTTGTCTATGAAGTCTCAGTCCCTGGTCTTAATTTTTTTCTTGCCCCTTCCCTTCTATGTTGTAGAGGCCCCTACTCTGTCCCTCTACCCCTAACAAAGCCTGCAGTATGGGGAGGTATACTTAGTGTCAACAGAATTGGGCTTGAATCTAGATATGTGACTATCAGCATGTTACTTAACCTCTCTGAGCTGCAGTTTCCTTAGCTATAAAGTGGAGAGGACATCACTGTGTCACAGAGTGGTTGTGAAGATTAAACATGCTAAGATGCATTTCTAGCTTATAGTAGCTGCTCAGCAAATCTCAATTTCCCTTTCTCCTGCTTCTTGAGCCTTCATTCTGTAAGGTGTGTTAGGTCTTGGACAGGTTCCCCCTTCCCAGGGTTATTTTCATTTCTACAGTGATCAAGCTTTAACTGAAGGAATTAAGGAGCAGGAAGATTCTTTTGGAGAAAAGACACACTGCCCCTGCTGGCTTTTCAGAAATATTTTATGAATGGTCCCAACAGGCTGTGTACTTACCCCACCTCCTTTCCTCTGAGCTGGCCACAGGGTCAGTCCTAACTGTAGAGGACAATTTGGCTGCCAGGTGGCCGCCAACATTCTTCTGCTGAGTATCTCAACCTCGTGCATTTCAGGCCACATCTTTAGTGATGGGATTGAAAGCAGACAGAGGAACGGGTATAAGGGGAGAAACAGCATTACCAAGAATGTGCAAATTCAGACACCCGCTGTTGTTATCAGGGACAACACCAGTCCCTCTGGCACTTTTGTGAGAACTGGAAGAAGGCACCCCCTCTGGGGAGATGGGGCCCTGCAGATGCACTACTAGGTGGGTGGACAGGGCTTTGGTAGAAATTAGAGAAAGGTGCTCTTCCTCCAGGGTGAAGGCAAGCTCCGCCCATGCCAGGTGCAACTTGGTGAGCAGAGACCAGACTGGGTTTCTCCCGGCCTCTTTCTCTGCTGCCAGGCACCTCAGTGCTGGGCACAACCTTCAAAGCCATATACAGTGGGCTTGTTATTACGGCTGTTTCCACGAGGCCTAAAGAGTCATTATTCTTTTCTCTTTTCCTACCTTCTTTTAGTATCCTGACCTAAGCAATGGAGAACCAACCAGGAAACTTCCTCAGGGCGTTGTCTATGGCGTGGTGCGAAGATCAGATCAAAATCAGCAGAAGGAAATGGTGGTGTATGGGTGGTCCACCAATCAGCTGAAAGAAGAGATGAATTACATCAAAGATGTGAGTCATTTAAGGATTTTTTTTTTTCTGGTTTTTACTTTTTTTTGTAGCATGTAAGAGGGTGGAGTTGGAAGCATTGAGGTAAACGTAATAAGGCATGGAAAAATTCTTAGCATTATAGATGGAATTGTTTCTGCATGTTTTCATGGTAATAGTAAATCTACAGATGTAATTCTGCAATGAGATATAGAGTGAACTTCTGGGTGTTACTAAGTAGGGAGATTCAGGAGACCAATTGGCTTCCTTCTTCCACGTATGACATGGAGGCTCTTAAGTGGTTTTGCTTATTACATTGGACACTCCTAATGTGTGAGTTTGGACAACTGTATAAATCTGGATGCATTTGGCAGCAAGTAATAGAAAAGCCAACTCAAAAAGGAAATTTGTCTTACATGGGGGTAAGTATGCGGGTAGGTGGGCTCCAGGCAGAGCATGTCCAGGCTCCGGTTCTATTTCTCTGAATTTCCCTTAGTTCTCTCCTCCTTCAGCCTCAGGCTCATGGCATCGTCTGAAAATATGATGGTGTCTGGGTCTTTTTGTTTTTTTTTGTGAGGAAGATCGGCCCTGAGCTAACATCTGCCAATCCTCCTCTTTTTGCTGAGGAAGACTGGCCCTGGGCTAACATCCATGCCCATCTTCCTCCACTTTATATGGGACGCCGCCACAGCATGGTTTGACAACTGGTGCGTCAGTGCGCGCCCGGGATCCGAACCGGCGAACCCCGGGCCGCTGCAGCGGAGCACGTGCACTTAACCGCTTGTGCCACCGGGCTGGCCCCTGATGGTGTCTGGAGGAAGTAAAGAGGCCCCTCATTTCTGGTCACGTTTTAGAGACTCTCCATTAAACTTCCCCTTATGTCTCCTTGGCCAAGGCTAGGTCACATGCTTATTCCCAAATCCATCACTGGCAAGGAGAATGGGGCGACTATGGCTGGTTCATTTGGGTTGAAATGGATGCTGGGGAGTCAACCACAATAGACTTCGTCCAACCCAGGCCAATCAATGCCATTTCTTGTATTTAATATCACATTTCTTTTAAACTACATGCTCTTTTGAGAAAATTTGGAAAATACAAAAATATGTGAAGAAGAAAACAAAATCACTCATAATTCCACCATGCAACTGGAGCAGTTAACATTTTGGAGCATTTCCTTATAAATTTTTCGTTTCTTTTTATCTATCTCCATTTTTTTTTTTTTTTGTTCTTTTGGTCTCCCTAGATTGACTAACGCCCCTATTGACCAAACCAGAGTAATTAGATAGAGAGGAAATGAGCTGCTCTGACACTGATGGGCCCCAAACACTGATCTGTAGATTAGAAAGTGCTCGTGAGGAGCAGGGGCAGTGTGGGGCAGTGGAGTACCCCCAGGGACCTTGGTTCAAGGTGCAGCTCTGTTTGGCCCAGCCAAACTTTTCCTCTCTCTGGGCTTGTTTTCATCATGTGTAGGTTGTATAGGTTGTGACCCTAAGGTCAAAACCTCCAGCTTTGTGACTCCATTTTATTTGGTGAGTTTGCGGATAACACACCAAGTCATGTTGTCAGCTTTTATATGGGTTTTTAAAAAGAACATCTCTTATCGGATATCAAAAATAATAAATGCTTTGGGTACCTTCTTTAATGTGTCTTGAAAGATTTGGATACTTGTATAATTATAAGGAATAAAAAGTAATCTTGATTAAAAATAATAATAATTGCTTAGCAGAGAAAATGAAGAAAAGTCAAAAAAGCTACATACATACACAAACACACAGGACATGTGTGACAATGACCAGCTTCAAATCCCCAGTCATCCTACCCTCCATATATAATTTTTAATCATTCAGAGTATCTCATTCCTAATTTTCCTGTAGAGGAGCAGCTTGAACATTCCTAGTCTCCTATATTTTCCTCATGGAAATACTTAGTCCTTCCTCATTTAACTGCCCCAGATAACATGGCACTGCTCCAGAGGTAAACCTTGTAAGCAGAGGGGAGAGTTGCAAATGGCCCAGACAAAGAAAGCAGGTTCAGGCTGGTCATGAATCAGGGATGACATGTGCCCAGGTGGTAGGAGTGGTTCTGACCTGAATTGCCACCCTCCACTGTAACCTGCAACTGAGAATTATTTTCCAGGTCCCACCTTTTATTTATTTAATTAATTAATTTGTTTATTTTTTTTGTGAGGAAGATCGGCCCTGAGCTAACATCTGCCAATCCTCCTCTTTTTGCTGAGGAAGACTGGCCCTGGGCTAACATCCCTGCCTGTCTTCCTCTACTTTATATGAGACACTGCCACAGCATGGTTTGACGAACAGTGCTTTGGTGCGCGCCGGGGATCCGAACCAGTGAACCCCAGGCCAGCGCGCGGAGCGCGCACACTTAATGGCTTGTGCCACTGGGCCAGCCCCTGGGTCCCACCTTGTATAGCTGGCTTCAAATCCATCCCTGGCCTGCTCGTTCAGGGACAACACAAGTCCCTCTCTTTATGAAATTGTTTGTCCTCTCTCACTGTGAATGACTCTGGCCCAGTTGACTTCCTGTAGTATTTGACACCCAGCTCGAGATCCCACCCACTCCACTGGTGAGCAAGCAGCACATGAGCCAACTCAGGCCCACAGATGAAAGCCATTCTGCCTGCCCAGAATGAAAAGTTGTGCTTTTGGCCTCATTTTCCCAAAATATTTGTAGTTAGTGGCAAGAAAGAATTCTGTTATTAGAATTCATCTGGGGAAGGCTTGGCGTCTTGATTCACTCTCCCTACCCCTGAAATCTCCACCGATATCCCGGCACCCCTAATAAACATGCTGTCTAATTTAAAACAATGTGCTAGCTATGCAAATACGGCTTCTAGGTTAAGTCCCCCCATGCTGTCCCCTACACGCCACCGGTCATTCTAACCAACTGCTGCCTTGAGCCCTTCCTGTATAGAAGTTCTGGAGCCTCCCTGGAGAGGGCTCCCTTGAGACTTCCTGTTCTGTTGGAGGATGCCTGAGGTCTTTGTCCATCCTAAGGGCACCAGAAGGAGGGAGGAGCCAGGGACTGTTTGTAAGGTTCTTTTGTTTTTATTTAAAAAAATCTTTAAGGCCTTATTACTTCTTGATGTGCTACTACATATGGAGAAACTTGAACAGTGTTTGTGTAAATAGGTGTTTTGGGGATCACCTTGACTGTTGTTATATTTCGTGCCTTGTGTATTACTGGTGATTATTGAGGAACTGACTTCCAAATTCATGGGCTCTCTAGGCTCATAGTTTCCTGCCTTACATTCTGACATTTAATTGCTCTTTGGCAGTCAGAGCAGAGATCGGGAAAATTAGAAGTTGCTTTTGTGTTTTGGTTTTTGGTCCTCTTAGCCACATGTTTGCAGTCAACTTGTTAAAAATTTTCTACTTGTAAAAATGTGTGATAGGAAAAGGGGCAAATCTTGCCTAAATGTGGTTTGAGGGTGATAGGTGAATTTCAACAAACCATTTTTTCTTCAGAACTTATTATTTGGATAATTAATATTTATTAATAATTATAATTATATATAATCATAATATGTATTTATTATTAATATTATTATCATTATTATTGGGATAATTCCCTTGGCTTCTAACTAGAAATCAGGAGTGATCTTCTCCCTTAATTTCCCAAATTGTTCTGTTCTTAAGTTGTTTTTTTAATGAGGCCCATCTCTCATTAGGTTTCTTGAAAGTTTTGGCAATCTCGCATGAAAACGTTATAGCTTGATCTCTAACTAGCATCTTTGTGGGCCACAGGTGAGAGCCACTTTGGAAAAAGTAAGGAAGCGAATGTACGGAGACTATGATGAAATGAGACAGAAGATTCGACAGCTCGCCCAGGAACTGTCAGTAAGTCGATATCTCAGTGACCTGGAAATATGGAGGGATTGTAGAGCTTAGAACACCCTCTCAGTGGCTAGTGCCTGAAGATATTTGAGTTTATGATGTTCTTTATGAATGGAATCATATTTTAAATGAACTGAGGGAATTTTATCACAGAACAAAGTTTATTATTATTAAAATGAAGTTTATTATTTTGTGGCAAGAATAATCTTTACATTCAAAGCATCCCTCCAAAGTCAGGAATAAGACAAGGAAGCCAGCTATCATCATTATTATTTAACATTGTGCCTGAGATCCTAGCCAACAGAATTAAACTAGAGAAATAAATTTGGAGCTATAAAAACTGGACAGGTAAACGTAAAACTATCACTATTTACAGACTATATGATTATATACTGAGAAAGCCCAAGTGAACCAATGAAAAATACTACTATAAACAATAAAAGAATTCTGTAAGGTAGCAGGGTAGAAAACTAATAGATGCAAAGAGGTAAAAAACAATATGCAATAGATACAATATGCAAAAAACAGCCAGTTAGAAGAAATTACAGGAACAAAAAACTACCAAATATCTGGGAGTAAACTTTAACAGGTAGAAAGATATACCATGTGCTTAGAAAGGAATCATAAGATGTCAATACTATCCAAGTTAATATATAAATTTAATATAACCCCATAAAAATACCAACAGATTTTTATTTTATGTTGTTTTTGTACAACTAGATGATTCAAGGTATACAGAAAATAAATATGAAGAGTTGGGGAAAATTCTGGGGAAAAAAAAAGCAAAAAGTTAGCCCTCTTACTATTACAACAAACTGAAAAAGCCTCAGAGATTAAAACAGCGTAGTGTTGGCACATAAATAAACAGACATCAATGAAAAAAAGCCCAGAGATGTAGCCCAATGTATGACAAACGTAGCATCTCAAATAAAGAGAGGAAAGGGACTACTCAGTGTGTGCTGTTGGGACAGACCTATACCTGGATAAATTCCAAATAGATCCAAGACTTAAGTGCTAAATATGAAACTTAAAAGGGCCAGAAGAAAATATGTGTGAATTCTTTTATACTCTTGAGGTAGGGAAGGCCTTTTCTTACTATGACATGCAATCTTAAGGCCACAGAAAAAGGGTTGATAACTTTGACTACGTTAAATGAAAAACTAATGCTGGCAAAAACACTAAAGTCAAGGTTAAATGACAGACTGGGAAAAATTATTTGCTTTCATATCATAGATAACAGGCTAATTTTCTGAGTATTTAAAAAGTGCCCACAAATCAAGAAGAAAAAGGCTACAACTCATAAAAATAGGCAAAATATTTGTTACAGATAATTTATAGTAAAGATGAAGAGCTCTTAAATGTATGGCAAGATACTTTGCCTCACTCTTAGTGAGAGAAATTCAGATTAAAACCGTCCTGAGATGTAATTCGTATCTAGTAGACAGACAGACTGCGTGAATGGGACAAGACGCTGGACTAGCAGTGCTGCGGAGAAAAACAGGCAGACTGCTGGATGGAATGTAATTTTGTATTCCTCTTTAAGGAGAGCAATTTGGCGGTATCTACCAAAATTACAAATGCCTCTGTCCTTTGACTCAGAAATTCTATTCCTAAGAATTTATTCTGTAGCTAAACTGTCACATATGTGAAATGACGTAGGTATGAACTTAGTTGTTGCAGCAGTGTTTGTAATAGTAAAAAGATTGGAAGCCTAAATGTTCATGAAGAAGAGGAAAGTAAAATAAATTATATCTCTACAATAGAATACACAGAATTGTAAAAAAAAAAAAAAGAATGAAAAGACTGAATAAGCACTTTGAAAAGAGATATGGAGGGATTTCAAAGATATAGAGTGGATGGTAAAAAGAGTGAGATGCAGGAAACTATGTATAATGTGCTACTATGTAAAACAGGAAGGGAAAATAAATATATCTGGATTGTTTTGTGTGTGTACAAAAAGTTACTAGAAGGAAAATCATGAAAGTAATTGACAGTGGTTCCTAACTGAGAGGCAGGGTGGGCAGCGTGCTAACTGAGCGGATGGGACAGGAGTGATCGGGAGATTTATTTTAGTGTGTACCGTTTATACTTTTTAAGTGTTTCAACTATGCGAATATATTACCTACTCAAAAATTTAAGAAAAAATAACCTTCCTCTGGTTTAATCAAGCTAATGCTTGTGGGAAAATTTTTTTAAAAATATTTGTGATTAATAATCTGGAAGAAGGGGCCGGCCCCGCGGCTTAGCGGTTAAGTGCGTGCGCTCCGCTGCTGGCGGCCCGGGGTTCGGATCCCGGGCGCGCACCGACGCACCGCTTCTCCGGCCATGCTGGCCGCGTCCCACATACAGCAACTAGAGGGATGTGCAGCTATGACATACAACTATCTACTGGGGCTTTGGGGGGAAAAAAAATAAATAAAATCTTAAAAAAAAAAAAAAATCTGGAAGAAAAAGTCCATCCATATATGACATACCTTCCGTTAAGAGTTAATATCTGCAGGAAGGAAGTATAGTTACAACAGTCATGCATTAGAGTTTAGTTTATGGCTGGGCTGTGACATTATCTGCTTAAGTAAGACCTCCTGCCTTGATTATAGGGGTGGGGGCCTATAAACATATCCACCTAGGTCATTCTCACTGGCATGTAGGAAGAGGTTTGTGAAATTCTCACCTACCCATGGGAATTCCCTCTGCCATCCACTGACAGACACTAACGACTATAATTAAAGCCAAAGGATTAGATTTGCAGTAGATGTGTAAACAATCTCTGCCCTTTGCTTTCCATCCCTTCTCGGGCACATTCTCATTTTCTCATGATAGAACTGTCACAGGAGCTCTATCTCTCTGCCTACAATCTCCTCCTCCAGGCCACACCACATACTGTAGCCAGATTAAGATCACTAAATTACTGCTATGTGAACACACCCCCAAGCAAGAACATTCTACAGGCTCCTGGTCCTGGCCTGCTGTTCCAGCTCTCTCCCATCCCCAGGGTGCACCCCTGCTCTATCATGCCTTCTGCTTTCCGTAGCTCCCACAGGCCACCCTTGAGCCTTCCCAGAACCCTTCACTGGAGTTCTCCTGCCTTCCTGGCTTTCTGTATCCAGCCTTTCTTTAAAGTGTAGCTTACAACTGGCCTCTGATGAAACTCTCTCAAACATGTCAATCACACACATCCCACAAAGACAACACAGCAACAGCAGCAGCCACAAAACAACTCTTGAGAATCGGGTGAGCCTGAAGTATATTCTTTCTGTGGTGAGTAGAAAGAGCAAGATGGCACAAGAAGATATTCTAGCTGGGTTCTGGTTCTAGCTGTGCCCCTTTTTAGCTGTTTGTGTGCAAATCTTTAACTTCTCTGATTCCGTTTCCTCCCTATAAAGGCAAACGTTCCGGCTGCCGCATAGTGTTGTTGTGAGGACTGAGTGAGGCCCGGTGGGTGAATATGTAAATACTATCCAAAGGAAAAGTGTTCTTCTCTTTCTACTCTCTGGGGCATGCAGATGTTGACTTTTAAATGTAAAGCTTTACTTGAAATATTGTTGAAGTGGATGTGGCTACTATCAGGAGAAAGTTCCAGCCTAACTAAAGATGTTGTGGGTGTGTGTGGATTGGTTTTTTGTAACTGTCCCCTCAATCTGTGCAGATTTCACAGGCTCAGCAGGACTATCTAGAGAATCACATCCAGACACAGTCGTCAGCCCTGGATAGTTTTAATGCCGTGAACTCGGCTTTGGCGTCGGACTCCATTGACCTGCAGGTATTCATCTGCTCACTGTCAGACTGGGGTCCCCTGTCACAGTGCAAGCAAGCTTAACCAAGAGCAAGCCCCACGCCTTTCTAGGAAAGTAAGTCACAGAATGTCCTCGGCCCCTTATTCAGAATCCTTTCAGCATAGCCACAGTCAAGACTGTGCCAGGAAGATGCTGACGGAAGTTGAAGGAAGTGCTTCTGAGCTGAGACTCTAAACCTTTGAGGTGCAGTTGTTTTTGCCTTCATTAAAATGGGGGTTTAGATCCTGAGTTCAGTGCTAGAGATGTCACTTGCTTCACTAGATACCCCAGTGGTCTTAAGTGTCAGTGCCTGAAACAGCATATCAGTCCCCCACTCCCTGTAGCCCGTGTTGCAGGAAGTTCCACCCAATCACAGAAAAGACAGACTTAACCAAAGGCAATCCATAGTCATTCATGACAATAACTCCCAGAGGCCGTTAAGCACTTTTTCCTAATTTAGAAATAATTTTGCATTAAAATAAATCATGTGCATTCCAAAGAATGTCTTGCAGTACCAGACAGGGAAAAGCAGAAAGACTCAGGATCCTACCTTTGTGCAAATATGTGTTGTCAACCCACTTCAGGGGGATTGCTCTCGATTAATTTGGCTGGGAGTTAACCACTCAAATGCTGCCCATTATTACTCTTCCAACTGACGCCCCCTTCTAACATGCAAATTAACTTGAAAATGTTCAAAATAAGCATTATATTTATTAGAAACAGCTTCCCTTGGCTTTAGTTTACAAATATGCGAACAATAGTTTCTGTCCCTCCTCCAACTTTATTTGGCTCTTATCTTTTTACCCTCCTATTAAAAGTTCCACAAGTTGTTTTGAATCCTTTCTGGTTCTATATAAATAATTTGTTAGATAAGCAAACAAATTTTCATGTTGGGATTATCTACTTCCCCTAGAACCTAGTATTCTCTAATAACAGCTACTATGGCAGGAGTGCCAACAGCAAAGCTAGGCCACTGTCCCACCCACTGGGTGGGTGTGTGTTTGGATTTGTCTGGAGGCCCGTTTCTAGTGGGGCCTCTGAGTCCCACCCTTTCCTGGCTCTCAGTGCATGCCAGTTTTTCCCTGGCCTCAGGCCAAGCCCTACTTTGGGTCTGGTTTAGTCAGTCGCCTTTGTTTTCCCTCCTCCTGCCATCAAGGGTGCTCGCCAGGGCTCCCTTTCCCTCCCTCTTGGGCATCTTCTCACTCCTGGCCAACCAGGAAATGCTGTACCTCACCTGAGTTCAGACTTGGTTGGTATCTGGGTTTTCTTTCCCAACATACTTCTGATTTGCCACCCTGCTGACACTCCAAGCATTTACTTCCGAGGTGAGCTGTTGGAACAAGGTCAACCCTAACCCAGGTACCCTGACTGATTCCTAGGTATGGTCCAGTCTCTTAGAGGAGGGCACACAAAGGAACCTTATAATGAAAAGATTAAAAACCATTGTTTAAAAAAAAAAAAAGAAAAAGAAGAAAATAAAGGTACCATCTCATGGCTCGGAAACTTGACTGAATCTGAAGATAGTTGGTTTCTTATTTCTGCAAGGCGCCAACCTCTTCCATTGTCCAGTCTACTCTTTTCATTATTATTGACAGTGAGACTAGACCCTTGGTTTGATTTCATAGAATGTCAGGGCTGGAAAGAACTGTCAAGATGATCACCAGACCCCTTGTTTTATGGATCAACAAACTGAGGCCAACAGAGAGAAATGACTTGAACCAAGGTGTCTAGCTAGTGGCAGAGCCAGGACTAGAACCCTGGTATCTTGGTCCAGATGTAGGTTCATGAGCATAAGAGCAGCATCTGTAATGCCAGTGGGGCTTGGGGAGGGGGTGGTTGGGCCAGGCAGTTTCTAAGGCCCCTTGCAGCTCCAGTGTTCTATGATTCCGTGCTTCCAAATGGCTTCCATATTTTCTTTAATATCTATTTACCACCATCGAAATCCTTTCTCCTGATTCGAGTAGGTTTAGAAAAGAGGCTTATTATCCAGAGTGGAGGCTGTGGAGTTGGAGGATCTTCAGAAACTGATCATCTACAAAGAGGACAAAGGTGTTCGAAAGTGTGTCCAACACCAGAATTTCCAGATCTCCTGATTGACAGTGGGAGATGACGTGGGGAGGTGGTAGAAGGTGCCCGTAACCCACTGTCCAGTTGTGGGAATTCTGGGGTTATGGAAGCCATTTTTCTGTAAGGAGAGTTAACTAGGTAGAACTTGAAGCGTTAAATAGCAACAATATTAAACATTCTTGCTCCAGTGGGTGGCCTGGAGCAATAATCAATGGGCTTTCCACACTTGTCAGGCTCTTGTCTGAGTCAACAAAGCCTGTTCTCTGGTATTCCTTCACCTCTGCCCTTCTGTGCCTAAGGGTGGAAGGTGACACATTTGCAGGCCTTACAGTAACCTCAGCCATGTTGTCTCTGTCCTGACAGGCGGTCTAGAAGTCACTCAACAGTATAGAAGTGACAGCCCCTTTAAGAAAAAAGAAGAATATCTCCGTTCTACAAAACACATATTTTATTTTCTGATTTCGTTGTCGGAATTTGGAAAATATAGAAAACACAAAGAAGAAAATAAATATCATCTGTAATCCTATCACATAGTGAAAACCATTATTTGTATTTTGGTGAATTTCCTTCTAGTCCTTTTTTTTTTTTTTTAATGCCTAAGCACATTTGAACAAATGCTTATACATTTCTTCCCAAAATGGGATTAATTTGTACTTACTATTTTCAAACCCATTTTTTTCTGTGTGTAATGATGTATTATGAACACTTTTCCTTGGAAAGACTCCATTTTAATCCATCTCCATCCACCCTAAGCAGGGGCAAGTGGTATTGGCAGCAGCTGTAGGGTATTAAGGAGGGGGCTCACTGGCCTACCCATTTACAGGGCGGCAGACCCCTTGACCACTGTAGGGGCTTCAGTCATTCAAACACCGGGGTCCCAGGCTTGCAACTTCTGTGGGCTGACATCTGCCTTAGTGTAATGACAAAGGGATGTCCCACTGCGTGACTCTGCCATGTTTCCTCACACCACCAGATCTGGTTTCATTTTTATGTTCATCCCAACAGAAAACCCTTGTGGATGTTACTTTGGAAAATAGCAACATCAAGGATCAAATCCGAAATTTACAGCAGACATATGAAGCATCCATGGACAAACTTCGGGAAAAGCAGAGGCAGTTAGATGTGGCGCAAGTGGAAAACAGGCTGCTGAAGATGAAGGTAAAGTGCAGGAGCCAAGATCTCTCGCTAACCTTTCTCCTCTCTCTCCTCCCATCTTCAACTCTTCCATTTCCTTTTCTCTTAGTTGGATTTTGTTCCCTTTTGGTGGCCAACTCCGTAGGGCTTTACTTGAAGGCACTGAGGAGGTTTCTGGGTTCACAACTGTCAGTCCAGATTGGGGTACCCCATATAGACCCCCACTAGGGACTCCTGCCTTGGCCCTCAGTGGCTGAGACAGTCATCATGGCCCTGCTTTTACGAACTGTGAGAGTACTTGGGGTGTCCACAGGTCTTGGCCTTCAGAAGCTTCACTGTTCAGATTTTCTCTGAGGCCCAAGGCCTTTCTGTCTGGTTTGACAATAAAGAGCCGAGGGGCACACAGGAAGAAAATGATGGGTGACCAAGGACTCTGGGCAACGTCCGTCTTGCCTACCAGGCTGTGTTTATTCCTCAGCTGGGCTTCTAATGCCCTGGATGTGTTAGTGCCCCTCCCAAACTTGAAACATGAATAGATTCCCTTCCCAGTGGCAGGAGCAGACCCATGCATGGCTCATAGAAGTCACTCAACAAATTATTTCCTGAATAAATTTGTTTTTATTTGTCTGTGGTTTTCAAATTGTGTTCAGTACAGCCTTAGGCTGTCCTAGAGGAGAGGGCCTTATGGGCAGTGTAGCCATAGAATTTATTGCTCCAACCAGAAGATATTTGGGAGTGAAAGGTGGTGCTATTAAGAATGTAGAGAAACAAATTGGGACATGTGGTCCCCTCCCTATGGGCTGCCTCAGATGGGGAGGCGGGACTGCCACACTGCACTGTGTCATCTCTGTGCTTGTCGTCCCACAGGGTTGTGCCATTACAGTCCACGTGGCCAAACACAACCACCCTGGGGAGGTGGGGGAGGGGGACCAGAGAACTATAGAGTAGATCAGCTCCTCTTTGCTTTCACTTCAAACTCTTCTCTTTACTATTTCATATATTGTATTTCTGTGTGAGAGTTACTTTGAAAAAAGGGGTTGCTGAAAGAGTCTGAAATTACTGGAGTCTTTTCCTTAGTGTAGGAGCTTGATCCAGTCATTCATCCCACAAATACATATTGAGTGTCTACTGTATGTGCCTGTCCTGTACATTCCTGTTTGTTCCAGGGTGGTATGGCATCAGGGGTCTGGGGACTTCATCAGGCAGTTTGGCAGTCTGGCTGCTTCCACGGAGACCAAGCCTCTAAATGTAACCTACAGTCGCCTGTTTTAGAGACTAATTCCTTTACTTAACTCCCTCGATCCCCCTCAAAAAAGTTACAGGACTCAGAGTATTTCACATGACCTGGATGCAGAGTAAACAGGACTAGAGGGACAGAGCTCTTTCTAGAAGTCTGTGTTTGCAGTGGAAATGGAGTGCAGGATGCATTGGGTCTCTCTCAGCTGATGATAATCTCTGTTCAGGATTTTCCTTTTTGTGGCTTCTTGGTACCAAAACTCGCCCAGTGATGAGAGGGGAGAATTAGAGGGCCTCAAGAGAGACTTTTGTCCAATCTTTGGAGTAAACGTCATGTAACCTATTGAGGTTGAAGTATACCTCACTTATCTAGAGCTTCCATATCCAGCAAACTCTGCTCTCTGGAACAAGCAGTAAGCGAGAAGGAAGGGACACAAACAGAACTTCAGCAGCATAAAATCAATGGCATGAAGTTCACAGGCAAGGGCAGGACCTGGGGTAGAAAGGAGACACCAGCCACCTCCAGCCTAAGCCCTACCTGCCCACAACTCTACTGGCTTTTTCTCATCCTGTAAGCTGGGCCTGCACAAGCCAGTAGGAGTCCCTCGCTTAATGTTCCCCAAACCAGGCGGGAATGTTTCCAGACGCAACATTTGGGAAAGCACAAAGGTATGGAAAGGATGGATCCAGATTTCTTATATGAGCTTAACTTAAGTCTTTCCTAGAGACTGGCCAGTGCAGCTAATGGGACAGCCTCAACTCCATGTGGGCAACTTCTCTTCAAAGGCCGCCTTGCTTTTCTGACATAAAAATTTTTTAAAGTAATGTAGGCACATGGGGGAGGGGGAAGCCAAACAATGTGAAAGCTAATCTAGAAAAAGGCTTGTACCATTTTACATTCCCACCAGCCATGTAAGATTTCTCCACCTCCTCTCCAACACCGTTACCATCTGTCTTATTGATTATAGCAAACCTTGTGAGTGTGAAGTGGTGTCTCATTGTGGTTTTGCATTTCCCTGATAACTAATGATGTTGAGCATCATTTCTTTTGCTTATAGGTCATTTGTATATCTTCTTTGGGATATCTATCAGATTCTTTGCCCATTTTTAAATTGGGTTATTTATATTTTATTAGTGAGTTGTAAAAATTCTTTATATATTCTGGATGCAAATTATTAGATATGTGATTTGCAAATATTGTCTCTCGCTCTCTGGGTTGTCTTTTCACTTTCTTGCTGGTATCCTTTGAAGCACAGTTTTTGATATTGAATATTGATGAAGTCTAATTTATTTTTTGTCGCCTGTGCTTTTGGTGTTGTATCTAAGAAGCCATTGCCTAATCAAAGGTCACAAAGATTTACCTTCGTTTTTCTTCTAAGAGTTTTATATTTAGGCCTTTGATCCATTTTGAGTTAATTTTTGTCTACGGTGGGTTAGGGGTCCAACTTCATTCTTTTGCATGTGGCCAATCCAGTTGTCCCAGCACCATTTGTTGAAAAGACTATTCTTTTCCCATTGAATGGTCTTGGTAGATAATTTTTTGAAATTTAATTTTTTATAATAGGTACATTATTCACTTAGTTTCAAAGTCAACCTATAAAACAAAGTATGTTAAGAAACAGAATGTCTCTATCTGTAACATCCCTTTTCCTCTGTTACCCCTCCTTCCTCCTATAGATAACCTTTTTATTTTTATTTTATTTCATTTCGTTTCATCGTATTTTATTTTATTTTATTTATTTTATTTTTTTGGTGAGGAACATTTTCCCTGAGCAAACATCTGCTGGCAGTCTTCCTCTTTTTTTTTTTTTTTTTGCATGAGGGAAACTAGCCCTGAGCTAACATCCATGCCAGTCTTCCTCTACTTTGTATGTGGGACGCCTCCACAGTGTGGCTGATGAGCGGAGTAAGTCTATAACCGGGATCCGAACCCATGAACCCAGGCCGCTGGTGCGGAGCGCATGGAACTTGAACCATTTGGCCAGGTGGCTGGCCCCAGATAACCTTTTTATTTTTTAATTTTAAAGTTTATCCTCCTCTGATCTAATTCTAACAGCGTAGTGATCTTATTTTCAGCCCACAACAGAATACAGTAGTCCCCCCTTAACCACAGTTTTGCTTTCCATGATGTCAGTTACCTGTGGTCAACCGTTGTCCAAAAATATTAAATGGAAAATTCCAGAAATAAACAATTAGTAAGTTTTAAATTGTGTGTTGTTCTGAGGAGCATGATGAAATCTCATGCTCTCCCATCCCGCCCTGGATGTGAATCATCCCTTTGTCCAGTGTATCCATGCTGTGTGCGCTACCCGCCCATCTTGTTCATCAGATTGACTGTTGTAGTATTGCAGAGCTTGTGTTCAGGTAACCCTTATTTTACTTCATAATGGCGCCAAAGCGCAAGAGTAGTGATGCTGGTAAAGAGAAGCCGTAGAGGGCTTCCTTTAAGTGAAAAGGTACAAGTTCTCAACTTAAGGAAAGAAAAAAATCGTAGGCTGAGGTTGCTAAGATCCGTGGTAACTTTTATTAGAGTATATTGTTATAACTGTTCTATTTTATTATTAGTTATTGTTAATCTCTTCCTGTGCATAAATGATAAATTAAACTTGATCATAGGTATGTACGTATAGGAAAAAACACAGTGTCTTTTCCCATTGAATGATCTAGAGTTCGCTACTATCCATGGTTTCAGGCATCCACTGGGGGTCTTTGAGCGTTATCTCGAGGATAAGGGGGGACTACTGTACTCAAGAATTAAAAAAGCTTATCCTTCTAAGGCCAATTAGAGTGTGGATATATTAACCAGAGAATAAGTTTTGTTAAAACTGATAGAGTATGGGCCGGCCCCGTGGCTTAGGGGTTAAGTGCGCACGCTCTGCTGCTGGCGGCCCGGGTTCGGAACCCCAGGCGCGCACCGACACACCGCTTCTCCACCCATGCTGAGGCTGCGTCCCACATACAGCAACTAGAAGGATGTGCAGCTATGACACACAACTATCTACTGGGGCTTTGGGGGGAAAATAAATAAATAAAATCTTTAAAAAAAAAACTGATAGAGTAAAAGATAAAATTTCAGGATCAAAAGAACATTAGACAAGAAAAATCAGGGAAGAAAGGGGTTAATAAGACAGTGGAGCATGGACACATTTTAGAGAGAATTCAATTTAAAAATGGCTAAATTTGGGGGGCAGGGTTGATAGTTAGAGAGGTACATTTCCGCCTTTTGAGAAATTCAGTCCCGTGGCGCACCTTTTCCTGACGTTGCCAAATCAATTCATGTGAAGTGCTGCTTTTTATTTCTGTGCAGCTGCTCGCCGCGTTTCCTTCTGCCTTCTGTCGTCTCCTCCATTAGCTCCTGCTGCTCCTATCTGCTGTGGAGCCCTGGTCAATGGGCCCACTCCTCTGTGTGCCCACACGTGACACATACAGAGTGAAAGGTGCCGAGTCCCTGGGCCCCTGCAGAAGCTCTGAAACGAGTCTCTTTGCAGGTGGAAGCCTGCCAGGAAGCCAATGCCGAGGTGATGAGAGAGATGACCAGGAAGCTGTACAGCCAGTATGAAGCAAAGCTGCACGAAGAGCAGCAGAAGCACAATGCTGAGAAGGAGGCTCTCCTGGTGTGTATGTCGCAGCTGCTGATAAGATAACGGAGCATTTGGGGTTCGTTATTGTTGCTGAGGTTTAGATAGTCCAGTTTCTGCTTGGAGGTAAGTTAGTGGACTCTGACATGGGTGAGGGATCAAGGAATTTATTCATTTGCTCATTCACTCCCCTCCCCTCTCCCTCCTTTCCTTTATTCATCCCCCTCCCTGCTCAGAATAGTTACCAATCTCTATCTCTCAGCACACCCCTTTCTCTAGCTAATCTGACCATCTGCCAGCATCTAAGTGGATCCTGGGCTTACCTGCAGCTCTGCCCTTCATCACTCCATGTGTACCTCTCTACCTGAAATTTCCTCCTTCCCTGTCCTTGATCCTACATAAGCTCCCTAAAAGTCTTGAAAAGGCTCCCCTCTCCATGACTGAAGTCTTTCCCATTCACACAGCTAGAAGGGTTCTCCTGACCTTGGGAACCCCAGTCTCTCTGCTCTTTGCTGTGGCGTTCTCTTGTACCTAATCACAGAGGTGGGCAGGACGTCTCATATCGTGGCTTCTCTAGGAGAGCATAAGTTCCTCAAAGGTAGGAACTCTGTGTCGGCCTTATCTCGTGTACTTACGGGCTTCATAAATGTGCCAAATGGTTGACTGAGTTGGTGCTTTGCAGTCTGGGAGAAAGATCTGGGCATTCTGCATTCAATTCCAGATCTGGCCCCAATTCCCTTTACATTGTTGGCGAATGTGGTGACACTCTGAGCATCTAGTCAAGGGATAAATAACATTTGCAGGCTCTTGTTAGACATAAGGACTCAAGGGAAGAAAGGGGAAAAAATCTAGGCCCATTAAAAAGCCACACAATGTGTCTTTATTCACAGGTGAGAACCAGAATCATGGAAGTTGAGCTCATGATCTGTGAGACACTTCTAGGCCTCAAGGTCATGCTGTTAAAGAGGCATCATGAATTTAGCAAGGCCAGAGCTGTTTGGACCCTGGTTGGTATCCTAGGGACTCCGTGGCTGTGCTGAGGAGAGTGTGTTTCTTTTGCAGGAAGAAACCAATAGTTTTCTGAAAGCGATTGAAGAAGCCAATAAGAAGATGCAAGCAGCAGAGATCAGCCTACAAGAGAAAGACCAGAGGATTGGAGAGCTGGACAGGCTGATTGAGCGCATGGAAAAGGTAACAGATGCAGCCTTGGGCCTATTGCTCACCTGCCCAGACTCCCCTGCGTTTCTGCGGTTCCCTTGCAGGCCTGTCTGAGGGTATGAGTAGCTCTCAACACTGAACCCTCTCATCCCTCCAATTCATGATTTAAGAAAGAAAGACAAAATGTAAAATAAAGTAGGAGGCAGTCCAACAAAGTTCTCATTTTCTCATGGTAGTGATTTTGATGCTTTAGAAAACATTATATATAAAATTATGTACAAAAATTAATATTTTAGCAGCTCTTCTTAGCTGGGGCCCCAAGCATGGACTTAGTTTACTTGTTGAGTAATCAATCCCTATTTATTTTATTTATTTATTTATTTATTTATTTATTTATTTATTTTGTGTGTGAGGAAGATCAGCCCTCAGCTAACATCCATGCCAGTCCTCCTCTTTTTGCTGAGGAAGACTGGCCCTGGGCTAACATCTGTGCCCATCTTCCTCCACTTTATATGGGACGCCGCCACAGCATGGCCTGACAAGAGGTGCATCGGTGCGCTCCCAGGATCCGAACCCGGGCCACCAGCAGCGGAGCGCGTGCACTTACCCGCTACGCCACGAGGCCGGCCCCTCAATCCCTGTTTAGATGTTTCATCAACACCCTAAGCCTATTGTTTCTGGGGGGCATGCGTCTGACGGGTTGGCCTCTCTCTGGCACGCCACATGTCAGAGCGGGGGACATGCCATTTCTCTGTGGGCCGGGCATGCAGGCTGATGGGTGGGGCTGGTGGGAGGTGTGTGGACGGCAGAAGCGCAGCTGAGATAATGAAGGCAGTCTAGAGAAAGGAAGGAGGCCAGAAATTAGGTGGAAATGGAGAAAAGGGAAGAAGGGGTGGGACAGAGGGAGGAGAAAAAAAGGAAGGGAAAGAGGAAAAAGGAAGGTGACCTTTAGCAGGTGACAGCTGACTTCTGGGGAGGGGTGGTAGTTGAGGGCTGAAGCTGTGGCTGGCTTCTGGAAAATGGCTCTCTAGCAGCATCTGGGTTTGCAGAATAGTGGTGACCTGCCGAGACCGTGATATCATAGCACCCTGTAACTCATGCTGCATGCCGAGAATCTCCAGGCTGATGATGAGGGAGGGGGAACTATAATATGAGTGAGTGAGGTCAACATCTGGGCTTCCAAGTGGTTCTGAGAGGAGGTCTCCTTACCCCTGATGTCTGCAACATGAGCCCTCTACTGTCCCTCACAAGGTGAGGTGTAACCAGAGCGGGGACGGCATTACGTTCGGTGCTATGCAGCTTCGGGGCTTGCTGGGGGCTCCCGTTTTAGGTAATATCTTTATTTGGGAGGGACTTGTGCAAACTAAAGAGTCAATTACAATTTTACCTCTATCTTTTATTGAAGAAAGGGGAAGCAACGCGTTTAGGGCTAGCATCAGTATTGGTTGGAGGTGGTGGTAGTGAAGATGGGGACACAAGGGCATTTTCTAGAACTAGAACAGAAGATGCTGGGTAACGGAAATGCTCCCTCTGGGTGGCAGACCGTCCTGCAGCGTACGGAAGCAAGGGGAGCAGGCAGCGTGGGGAGGTAGGTGGTGTGGGCCGAGAAGCTGTCTTACAGAGATAAGTGGTCTGGGGAGTGGTTAAGAATATAGGTTGTAGAATCAGACGGACCTAGATTTTGAGTCTTGCCTCTTTCTAGTTGTGGTAGTTACTTGACTCTTCCAAACTCAGTTTCCTCTTCTGTAAAATGCTGATAATAATGATTCTGATTCTTAAGGCTTTTGTGAGGAGTAAATGAGAAAATCCATGCAAAGTGCTAAGCACAGTGCCTGGCATACAGTAGGGCTCAAAAATCTGTGGCTCTGATTTTTATTTTGTTACAGACTTGCCTAAGTGTCTGCCCCTGGAGTCAGCTTTTTTAAACTCAGCCTGCTTTATAGCTTATCTTTTTTGTACCCTTGGGGTTCTGACGGTCCCCAGCTTCTTCCCACTGATTTCCGCGTGGAGCCTGTGGGAGAGGTGTATGTGTGGGAGGCCAGGGCTGTGGTAAGGCTGGCCCTCCCTGTGGGCATTTATGTAACACAAAACGTTCTCCACGTCCCGTGGCTTTTTCTTTAGTGACTGAAAATTTATCGTCCTTTCTCTAAATCTTCTTTTCCATTTAGGCTAGAGAAATGCTCGCTTTATTTAGCTAAGATTAGATATATCAATTTACCGCTCTTTCTCCTTCAGGGATAAATCTTTTAGAGCAGGAATCTTGCCAGATCTCTGTCCCACTATGTCCACGGGTGTGAACTGTGGCAGTATTTGTATCCTGCTCTTACCTATTTTTGGATTTGCTCAAGGACGAAGTGTGTACTTTTGAATGGCTTCTCTACTGTATACCTTAGTTTACTGTTTCTCTTTTTGAGCATTGTATTTGAAACACCTTTCTTCTGATCAGTAAAAATCTTCTAAGGAGTGTATTCTATCAGAGACCCTTCTGTGAAACCAATACTATTCTATGCCTTGATCTGGGTAGTGATTTCACAGATGTATACAAATGTAAGAAATTATTGTGCAGTGTACACTTAAGATTTGTTGTACCTCAATTTAGAAAAAATTGAACTTTTAAAGTGTGCTATAAGTTTGGCCTTGCCCTACTTTATGACAGCTTTTTTGGGGGCCTGGGAGGGGGCTCACTTGTGAAAGGTCCATCACTGTTATTTCAGGGCTGATATAAACTTCCAGCTGGTGGCAAACTACATGAGCGCAGGGAGAGTGTTCTGCCCAGGCTGGGCAGTAAGAATGTGCATTCCATGTGGAGATTTAAAAACAGTAACAAAATGCCACTGAAAGCCATCTTTCTTTATTATTCTAAGTATATCAGTGATAATATGCTCTTTCCGACAGGGTAGACTGTTCCGCCATCTCTTTGGTCTGCTTCTTGGTGTTCTACTGCTTATAGCTTCAGAAGTTGTGGAAGTTAAATTTTCAGAGATTTGCTTTCCATAATTTGGTGGAAAAGAGATTTGGACTCTGTATAACTAGTAAGAGTTTCTTGGGGAGAATTTCTGAGAAAAAGGTGAGCCACAGTAGTACTTAGAGGAGGACCTAAAGTAAAATGATCTCCTCCCAATTAGTGAGCAGGATTTGGTAAACTTCATTTTAAGGAAATTTAGTATTCTAACATCTGTAACGTATTTCTAGTGCAATTTTGGTTGTGATAGGCACTGTGTTTTTATTAACATTTTCCACTTGTCCAAAGAAATGATTGTCCAGATTCTTATATTACTTTTTTGGGTAAATTTTTAAATTTACGTATATACAGCAAAGTGTATAAATCTTAAGTGCACAGCGTGATACATGTATTAGTTTCCTATTGCTGCTGTAACAAATTACAACAGTTAGTAGCTTAAAACAGCACGAATTTATTAACTTATAGTTCTAGAGGTCAGAAGTCCTAAAGTCAAGGTGTTGGCAGGGCTGAGTTCCTTTTGGAAGCTTTAGAGGAGAATCCATTCACTAGCCTTTTCTAATTTCTAGAGACCGCCTGTATACCTTGGCATGTGGCCCCATCTTCCAACGTTAAAGCCAGTGGTGTAGCATCTTCCAATCTGTGTCTCTCTCTGACTCTAACTGTACTTCCTCTTTCTTGTAAGGGCCCAACTGGATAATCCAGGATAATTCCTCCATTTTAAGATACTTAATCACATTTGTAAAGTTACTTTTTCCATGGAAGGTAACATATTCACAGATTTCAGAGATTAGGATGTGGACATCATTGGGGGGCCATTGCTCTGATTACCACAATACATTTTACAAGTGAACACACCTGTGTAGACGCTGCCCAGGTTAGTATATAGGATATTACCTAAATTCCAGAGCCTCTTTTCTTGACAATTCAGAAAATAATCAAGAATTTTGCAATATCACAGGCCACTGATTTAGAGTATTGATTATCATTGTTTAGGATTATAAGTTTTAACAAGACATCTGAGCCTGGGTTGATGGAATACTTTTTAAAAAAGAAATCTTGAATGGCTTTATCCAGGATATTTGTTTGTAGTTCATAAATATGTCTATAAATACACACCAACAGATTTGGCAATTTTGAGCTTTTTGGACTCTGGTGAGTGGGTGTGTAAAACCCATGAGTGTTATATAGACCTGAACTCACTAGTGCTGGGATTGCGTCATACACAGTCTCTGTCCAGCTTGGGATCCATTGATGAAAATATCAGTGTCTGTTTGTTTTAGGAACGCCATCAACTACAACTACAACTCCTAGAGCACGAAACAGAAATGTCAGGGGAAATAACTGATTCTGACAAGGAAAGGTAAGACGTAATGCCGTTTATCTTGAAATGGATTTCGATGGGGGACACGCTGTGTTTTTGTGGGCTCACTTGGTCCTTGCATATCCATTCATTTGGCCATCACTTACTGCAGACTGATACATGCAAAACATTGGGCTGAGAGCTTCCAATATGGAGCCAGTTTCCTCAGGAGCTTACAGCCCCGTCGTACAGCCCATGGATGGCTGTTAGTGCAGTGGAACACATCCGACTGTCACCAGTGCAAAAGTTTAGTCTGTAAATGTTCCCCATGACCTTCAACTCCACTGGATGCACCTTGTCGACTGTGACTAATACCGTTGCTGTGGAAACTAATTTTAAAATGCCTTTCTTTGTTTCCAAATGTTGCCCAGTCAAACCTCGCCTTGTCCCCTGGATATGGAAAATGCAGGAGTATTACATGGTCTCTTCTAGAAATCAAAAGGCAGAAAGGCCATACACGACCCTGTAGTGAAGGAAAACAAGGTTGGGATGATTTGAGCATTTTGGGCAAGTTACCTAACTTCCCTGAGAGTCTTTGCTTATCTGTAAAATGGGAATTCTTCTTTAAAGGGGGAGGGGGTTATGATGTTCATAACAGTGCCCATCTCATTGGGGTGTTAATGTGAGGACTGTTGGGCATACTGCCTGCCACATAGTGTGTGCTGAAAAATACCTGTTTTCCTTCCTCTTTTGTGACTTCAGGGTTTGCAACAAGTCTTCCCTAGTCTTTAACGCAGTGCTGAGGGGGGACCTGGCAGAGAGAGGAGTGGGAAGCAGACCACCAGACCCTTCATCCAGTGCTCCATTCCAGCGTCCCCAAAGAAGTGAAGAGGCCCTTTGCTGGTTCCTTTGGTTTCTTTGAACCAAGCAAAGTCAGAGGATAATTTGTGCTGTTTTAAAACAAAAGTATGAAATGTTTTGCAATGGGTCCACTCTGTTTTGATGCAGAGATGGTCTTTCAGCGTATTTCCCATTTTCCCAAAATAAATGATTGTAGAACAGTTATAATTCTAGACCTCTCAGGACTGTGCTACTTGATTTCAGATATTTTGTTGTGTTACTAGACTCCTCTCTGTTCTCCTAATCAAGGAATTTACTGGATGTTGCAATATTGTATTGACCCCCAAACAGAGATCCTCTCTCATACCTGTAAGTGGTGCAGATTTTCTCAGTCCCTGGAAAGTATAGTAACTGTACTTACACAAGGTAAAACTTGCAAGAGGGAACTTGACAGAGAGTCCTCCATTCCTACTGCTGTGAGGGGTCGACTGGCAGTTCCTTACCCAGGATACACACAAAGGAGGAAGAGTGCGTCTTGGACTTCCCTTTCTTGTCCTCGGCCATGTTCCTTTCAAGCAGTAACTTTCTATGCTGGTGGTGCTGCTTTGGTTTAGGACTCAGTCGCTCCCTCTTTTATTTGCATTAGGTATCAGCAGCTGGAGGAGGCGTCCGCCAGCCTCCGTGAACGGATCAGACACCTAGACGACATGGTGCATTGCCAGCAGAAGAAGGTCAAGCAGATGGTTGAGGAGGTAAGCCCTTGTAAAAGGTCATGGGCCGGGGATTGCTTCCTGTGCTGAGGACATTTCAGCCCTCGAGCCAGATCGATTCTCAGCCCAGTCTTCTGTGGCTCACAGCGAGCTTGCTCAGGCTACTGCCATCTTGACCAGAGGGAAATTTCCTCATATGTCCCCCAGGAATAGTGGTTATCCCTGTAAAAGAGGGCCTTCTCCAGGTCAAAGGGTTACACTTAAGAAAGCTAGAGAGCACAGTTCATAAGCTCACCCACTGTGAGAGGACAGTGATGCCCTACACGGGGGCCCATGGAGCAGGGACCAAAGGATGTGACAAGAAGAGTTTACATCAGCTCAGGTCTCTGCACTCCCCTGAACCGCCTGCCTCTCTCCCCGAGACCGCTCCTGTCTTTTCTCCATTTCTGGGTGTGTCTCTTTCATTCCCTTGCTCTGTCTATTCCTCTCTCTTTTTCCTCCCTCCTTTCCTCATTGTCTTCTCCTACTCCTTTTTCTCCTCCATCTCTTCTCTTTTCCACCATCCTTTCTCTTCTTGACTACCTATGTAATGTGAAACCAAGTTATATGTTTACTATATGCTGGACACAGTTGACTATTTTGTTTCTCTAAATGCAAAAACAGGTAAGTTGAACATTTATATTTCTCTAAGAGGAAAAAAAGTTCTTTTAACTTATGTTAATGTAATCTGTCTCTCTCTCTTGTGGTGATGCTTGATAGAAGAAAATCCACGCTGTGGTACAGCTAATCACATATTATTGTAATTTTTTCTTGCTCAATTAAAAAAATCGGATAGGGGCTGGCCCAGTGGCGCAGTGGTTAAGTGCACGTGCTCTGCTTTGGCAGCCCAGGGTTCGCAGGTTTGGATCCTGGGTACACACCAACTCACCGCTTGTTGAGCCATGCTGTGGCGGCGTCCCATATAAAGTAGAGGAAGATGGGCATGCATATTAGCCCAGGGCCAGTCTTCCTCAGCAAAAAAGAGGAGAATTGGTATCGGATGTTAGCTCAGGGCTGATTTTCCTCACAAAAAAAACACAAAAAATCGGATAGAGGGGCCGGCCTGGGGATGTAATGGTTAAGTTCCCATGCTCCGCTTCAGTGGCCCAGGGTTCACAGGTTTGGATCCCGGGCGCAGACCTACGCACCGCTTATCAAGCTGTGCTGTGGCAGGTGACCCACATATAAAGTAGAGGGAGATGGGCACAGATGTTAGCCCAGGGCCAATCTTCCTCAGCAAAGAGAGGAGGATTGGCAACAGATGTTAGCTCAGGGCTAATCTTCCTCACCAAAAAAAAGAAAATCAGATAGAGAAAAAGACAGTACTAACAGGGTTATAAGAATTCCCCAGGGTCTAATTCTCTAACTGTCAAAGAAAAGAAAAGATTTCAATTTAATTAAACATTTGGTTGGCAGTGGAAAAACTGAAAAGAAAACCATTTTCCTTATATTAAGCACTGCCCTGAAAAGTTACCTAGTTTATTAATGAATTATTAAAGTTAAAAGCATCTCTACTTCTAATAAATGATTGACACACATGACAGACAAATAGAAGATTAAAACTATATTTATTTATTAATCTCTACAATGTTGGAGATATTAGTGGAGTGGAGTTAAGGTCAGGGAATTGTGAGGATGGGGAGGGACACTTCTTTTTAAATGTGTGTAAACACAATTAGGATAAACATATACATTAGATAAAATCTGTTCCCCAAACAAGAAACCCAATCATGAAGTGTTGAATCCTGTGATGGACTCATATGCAAGTCTTGGGGAGCAGTAGAGAAAAAGAACAGGGAGCAGAGGTTTAGATGAGGAAACCAGGCACACACCTTTGTGGTCCCTTTGCATACCCAGCAGGAGTGCTGCCAGCAGCAGTGATGGGTAGATCCTGCCCAACAGCAACACTAGGTAGATGTCAGGAGTGTGTTTCCCAGGATCAAAGAAAAGCATCACTTTGTCACAGCTGGCATCTTGGAGAACCATGGCTGTCAGATCATAGCTTTTCTGCTTCTGAATTTCACATACATGAAGTCTGGGGCAAGGCTATCCCTTATTCCCCGTGTGGCTCCTTGACTGTGGAGCACTGCATTTCTCCCATCTCACACAAGGTGGTGGTCTGGATTGTTTTCATATCCAGTATTAGAGAACCAGTGAACAGAATGTCATATGCTTTGGCTTCTGATTCCATTATTTGTAAGGGTTTAAGATTGGTACCAAAATAGGAGACACTTGTTTTAAAAAGACACTTTCAGAGAAGTTTAGGATCTTCTGTTTTTTAATGTACTTCTGGAATATAATGGACAAACCAATTTGAAGGGAGTGGAGGAATATCCACATATGAAAATAGGAAAGCGTATAAGATCACCTGTCCATGCCCTGTTTTGCCACCTGTGACTTACTATCTCCCAGACAAGCTTCTCTGAGCCCTCATGATGCGATCTGGAAGACCCAGTCATGGAATGAGATCACAGGCTGAACTTTAGGATGGCTGCATGCAAGTGAACAGCACCTAGGGGCTGGCCGGGCTTGGGTGGAGACTTAACAAACGAGACAGAGAGCCTTTTTATTCTATGTTTAAACAACTATCTAATTCAGGTAGTAAGAATTAGTATGTTTGTCCAGTACACCGTGTTAACTTATACAACAAAAGGATGGTTTAGAATCTTAATTGCTATAGCCATTTATGCGAAAACATTTTTTTTTTAAGTTAGGAACTTGGAAAAGGGACATTGACAAATGAGCATATTCAGAAGAGCAGGATCAGTTTGGAAAGGAGTTGAGACTCTAGTAATTCAGGGAATAGTTGAAGAGTTGGGGAAGAGTTGACCAAGGAGAGACATGAGAGCTGAATTCACATCTTAGAAAACAGTTGTCGAGAAGAGGAATTATTTTTGTGTTGTGTTTCAGTGCAAGGCCAGGCCAGAACCACTGGGTGGCACTTGCAAAGAGGCAAATTTCAGCTCTTGGTTTGCCATAAAGAAAACATTTCTAGTATTGGTTTCCTTGGGAAGGTGTTTAGTCTTTCATCATGGGTGCCTTCCTTATGAGATGAGAAGCTGAGATAGAAGCTCCTTATGGAAACAGTTCTCGATTGTTTGCTAAGCTGTGCCTGTTATGATCTCAGCATTTTCATTACTTTGCATAGTGAGTGAAATCAGCAAAGTCATAAGTAAATCACTTCAGGTCATTTGGACCAAATTTTGAAAAATCCAGACTACTGAATTAGTCACTTGTGGAATGGAATCTTTAACTTGGACTTGAGAAGAGAAGCATATTTTTATCTGTGAACTCCAACCACCCAGATACTGAGACAAATTTGACCTAGAATTAGAGGCAAGCTTTATGTGGAGCAGATGTTAGGGACAGTTTTCCTTCCCTCCCACGAAGTCTGGAAGCTTGTCAGTGCGATAGCTTCAAATTCACCGAGGGTGGGGATCCATCTATTAGTGTGTCATTTGAGTCATAATGTCTATGAAGAAAACCATGGGCTTCTTTTTTTCAGCTCAAAACCTCCTGGTATTATTACTGGGGTTTTTGGAATCCTTAAATGTTAAGCAGTGTATTTCTTTCCACCTCAGTAAAATGTAATTTCTTAATAATAATATATTGAATAAAAAGTAACCGGCCTAGATTTTGCAGTCTTTAGCTCAGTAATGACTTAACTTTCATTGTGTGGGACAGTATATTTCAGTGAGGACTTGTGCATGTAAGAAGGGGGCAGGATGGGCCCTTTTGAAATAAAGATTAATATATATCGTATGGGGTCAAGTTCATTGAAAATAGACAACACAGTGTCTTGTGTGAAGTGTGGGACCAAATACCCCCAGTAGGCTAGATCTTTGTACTGAATTAAGTCTCTCTTTGGGGTGTGTGTCAGGGATTGGTTGTCTCCCTCCCATTACTAGTTCTTCTCACTGGTTCTGGCTCTGACAAAAAATAAAAGGCAAAACAAAACAAGCCCCACATATGCCCCTTTTAGACTTTTAAGGGTTTGCCAGAAAATATAGAGGGACTAAAAAAAATAGGAGTTGTGGGGAAATTCACTTATCTGTCCACTCACCAGATATCCACCAGCACTGTCTCTTTGCGGGGCGGGGTATGCAGTGGGGGGCGGTCAGATAGGGTCCTGCCCTCACGGATCTTACCATCTGGTGTTACCAGAGTTCCAGCGTAATCCTTGCCCTTGGGCTTCATTCTTCTGTTGAAAAGTCTTGTTGGGATTAGGTCCTTTGTCTCGAATTAGGCTGCATTCTTTAGCTTACCATTAAAGGAACCGGGATCAGGGAGGAGCACAGGCTGGGAGGAACCTGAGGCCAGAGGAGTGAATACGCTGACACATCTCTAAGTGTTATTTCCTCCATCAGCAGTCATTCACACCTCTCTACCTGCTCTCGTTGAGGCCCAGTCCCCTGCCAACCAAGGCAGCTGTCCTGCTCAGGGGGAAGTTATTTGGAGGAAGAAACAAATTCTTATTTGCCCTCAAAAAAGGGTGGATTTACATTTTTGCCAGTGAGCAATGATATTATTCAACTGAATAAAGAGTAATTTAATAAGAGTTTCTTTACCTTTTTCCACTTCAACCGTAGGCATCCTTTCATTTTATCATTTCTTTCTTATGATTTCTGAATGCCATTTGTGATGGGCAAACTGTTTCTTCCAGCAGAAAGTGACTGAAGGAGTTTCCTTTTAGCTGCAGAGAAGGCATTATTTCTGTAGACTCTTGCAGAAAGCAGTTGCACCCCCACCTCCTTCTATAATGTAGATATTTAATGAGCACAAAGGTGCAAGGGATTGATTTTCCTATTAGCACTTCTCCATACACGCTGTGCATTAGAATCACTTGGGAAGCTTTAAAAAATGCCAGAACCTGGCAGATGGGGGTGGAAGGGAGGGACTGGGTATTGGGTTTTTTGGTTTGTTATTAAGCTCCACAGGATTCGAATATGCAGCCGGGGTTGAGAACCAAAGCTCTGGAGTCTTAGAGCAGTGGCTTGAGTCTC